CACAGAGATCCACCTGCCTCTGCCTCCCGAGTGCTGGGACTAAAGGCGTGCGCCACCACCGCCCGGCTTCACACTTGTTTGTTTCTGTCTGTGTATTCCACAGCACTGACACCCTGGGGGAGTTGGTTCTCTCCCTCCACATGTGGGTCCCAGGGATTAGGCTCAGGTCATCAGACATGTGGTGAGTCTAACATGTTGAGGACTACAGTCGGGGTCAGTTTCACAGGTTGAGGCAATTACTTAGCAAGTGACAGAGCAGTCAGAGGTTGGGAACTAAAACTACCTGCTTCCCAGATCAAGGGGGAAATCATATTACTACAGAAATCACTTCAGCTCAGGGGTGTCAGAAGACACAGGGCTTAATATAGACGTGGAAATTATGTTTTTCATATACTCTGGGTGGGAATGAAGGATAGCCCAGACAGGACTAGTGAGTGTGTACAGCTGTTTGAACTGTCAAGTAGGTTGGAAGAGTACAGATGTCATTCTCAGAGAAGGGAGCATTGTAGGTTTACCCTTTCTGTGCTGCTAAGAGTATTCTCTTAGTGCAAGAGCTATTTTCTTATTGGATGTGTTTGACCAAAATTCACAGATCCTAATGAGGCTACAACCTAGATTTTTCACTGTTTTCTTTCCTTCTGCTAGGATTTGTGGCTGAAAATAGTAATATGGATCTGCATTGTACTAAGGTTACAGCAACATTGTTTTGACTAGGAAGCTATGGGATTTTTTTTGTTTTTATAATAAAATAGTTACCATTAAAAGTCTTTGTGCTGTGTTTGTGTGTGTGTGTGTATGTATGTATGTGAGTGTGTGTGTGTGTATAGGTTAGTGGGAGCTTTGGGGGTTGTTTCTCCTGTATGGAAGTGTAAATGAGAATAGCCCCAAAGGCTCGTGGATTTGAGCTTTTAGTCACCTGGGAATGGCACTGTTTGAAAGATTAGGAGGTGTGGCCTTGTTGGAGGAAATATGTCAGGGTGGGCTTTAAGGTTTCACAAGCCGTGCCAAGTTCAGAGTCTGTCTGCCTGTGGATCAGGATGTAGCTATCAGCTACTGCTCTACTACCTGCCTGCCTCTACCATGATGAAAATGAACCAAACCCTAAAACTGCAAGCAAGCCCCAGTTAAGTGCTTTCTTCCATAAGAGTTGTCTTGGACATGGGGTCTCTTCACAGCAGTAAGACAGTGACTGTGATTCTTTGTGACCTGGAAATTGTCGAGAAGGCTTGGCTGATTGGCCAGCAAGCCCCAAAAATCTGCCTGTTTCCTCCTAGTGCTGGGATTACAGACTCACTATATGCCCAGCTTTTCCACTATGTAGTTGAGTCTTTTACTTAGTATTTTGAGACAAAGCGTCCTGTAGCCCAAGCTGTTTTCAGTTTACTACAGCTAAGAATGCCTTTGAGCTCCCAACCCTCTTGCCTCCACCTCCCGGTTGCTGGTACTACAGGCGTGTGTCCTCACGTCCTCACCTGGGCTGGGTGTGTTGGGGGCTCCTTGGGGTAGGGTGTAGGTTCTTGTGTTGTGCTTGTAGGTTTTGTTTGTTTATTTGTTTTTGGTTTTTCGAGACAGGGTTCCTCTGTGACTTTGGAGGCTGTCCTGGAACTAGTTCTTGTAGACCAGACTGGCCTCAAACTCAGAGTTCAAGTTAGCTTGGTCTACATAGAGCTCCAGGGTAGCAGGACTACATGGAGAAACCTTGTCTCCAGGAGACATGTAGCTTTCCTTGGAATACTAATGATAAATCTTTTTCTTCTTCTTCTTCTTTTTTTTTTTTTTAACGAGACAGGGTTTCTCTGTATTGTTTTTGAGGCTGTCGGTCCAGCCCGGCCTCGAACTCACAGAGATCCGCCTGTCTCTGCCTCCCGAGTGCTGGGATTCAAGGCGTGCACCACCACCACCCGGCTCTTCTTTTTTTTTTTTTTTTTTTTTTTTTTTTTTGGTTTTTCAAGGCATGGTTTCTCTGTGGCTTTGGAGGCTGTCCTGGAACTCGCTTGGTAGTCCAGGCTGGTCTGGAACTCACAGAGATCCGCCTGCCTCTGCCTCCCGAGTGCTGGGATTAAAGGCGTGCACCACCAACGCCCAGCTACTTCTTTTTTTAAAGACAGGGTTTCTCTGTGTAGCTCTGGCTGCCTTGGAACTCAATCTGTAGACCCATCTGGCCTTGAACTCAATGATCTGCCTGCCTCTGCCTCACATTGCCCAGAATAAAGCCATGTGCCACCACTGCCTGCCTCCCATGTCCTACTTAAACATATCTTAGAACCAAAACAATGTGATAAATAGTGGAAGTCAAAGTACCTGAGGTATTAGCTAAAATGGTACCAGACAATACCACCACAAGTTGTTCCATTTATTTTATCTAACAAATGTTATTTGATCACCTAGCTTTAGAAACAAACAAACTTGAAAGGCAACTTCTAGTGCTAATGATAATGCTGTTCTCACTATGCAGAAATCATTCGAGTGAGGAGAAAGAAGGAGTTATACAAGGTTCAACCATCTAAGGACCTTCATCACTAACTTGAGGGTTATACAGCTTCACATCTGTATTCTCAAGACAGTGCTTCTTTCAAAAGCCAAGAAAAACAATGAAGAGCTCCTATCATAGTCTCTAGCACCATGGTTTGCTTATATACATCAGCACGAGGCACCAAACTAAGAGCTGTTCCTTCAAGAAAAAAAAAAAAGACTTGGCCATATGTGGTTGAAAAACCAAAACAAGGGTTGGAGAGATGGCTCAGAGGTTAAGAGCACTGGCTGCTCTTCCAGAGGTCCTGAGTTCAATTCCCAGTAACCACATGGTGGCTCACAGTCATCTATGAGATCTGGTGCCCTCTTTCGGCCTGCAAGGATACATGCAGGTAGAACACTATACATAATAAATAAATAAATCTTTAAAAAATAAAAAGAAAAACTAAACCAAAAAAACCTTAGAGAGCTTTATTTGGCATCTGGTTGTTTTTTGTCATGCTTAGGATGGAACTTAGAACCTCAAGTATGCTGAGTAAGCACTCTCTTGTCACTGAGCTCTATTCTACCCTGTTTTTGTTTTTGTTTTTTGTTTAAAGATTTATTTGCCCAGTGGTGGTGTCACATGCACTTGGGAGGCAGAGGTAGGCAGATGGATCTGTGCTGAGTTTGAGGCTAGCCTGCTAGTTCCAGGACAGTCAGAGCTACAGAGAAACCCTGTCTTGAAAAAAAAGTTTATTATGTATATGGTGTTATGCCTACATGTATGCCTACAGGCCAGAAGAGGACACCAGATCTCTCTTTATGGATGGTTGTGAACTACCATGTGGTTGCTGGGAATTGAGCTTAGGACCTCTGGAAGAGCAGCCACTGCTCTTAACCGCTGAGCCATCTCCAACATCCCTGTTATTTTTTAAACAGTTAAAACCTATCATATAATCAATAGACAGTGAGATAGTAGGACTAATGAGAGTATGGTTTTATATCTTTCTGTTAAATAGTAGATGGAAAAACAGACATGTAGTATCTATTACATGTCTCAGGTTAACAGGGAATGAATGTACTAGAAATCAGAATTTCAAATAAAAGCTGACATTTAAAGGGGATTAGCATGTCTCTAGCATTGCATAGAATATACTTGACTGACAGAGTCAGTGTAGTGGCATGAAGATTTGTAATTAGGCTTTTGGAAACCAGAGGCAGGGAGGATTGCAAATTTGAGGCCTGAACTTTTAGACACTTTTTCATCCCCCCTCCCCCATCTCCCCCAATTGAGTTTCTTTTTGTAGTCTGGCTGTCCTGGAAATTTCTCTGTAGATCCACCTGCCGCTGCCTCCTCTTTTTTTTTTTCTCCCCCTTTTCTTTTCTGAGACAGGGTTTCTCTGTAGCTTTGGAGCCTGCCCTGGAACTCACTTTGTAGACCAGGCTGACCTGGAGCTCACAGAGATCTGCCTGAGTGCACCAACCACCAACGGCCGGCGAAACTTGTCTTTCTAAATGACTTGCAGTTTTGGTAACTTGAATGCCCCTTATTAGGGATGCTTAGAAATAGAAGTGCTTCAGGCTGGAGAGATGACTCAGAGGTTAAGAGCACTGGCTGCTCCTCCAGAGGTCCTGAGTTCAATTCCCAGCAACCACTTGGTGGTTCATAACTGTCTGTGATGAGATCTGGTGCCCTCTTCTGGTGTGCAAGCATGCATGCAGATAACCGTATATATAATAAACAAAATCTTAAAGAAAAAAAAAGAATAAGGAAACCAAAATTCCATTAAAAAAAAAAGGCTTCAGATTTTTGAGATCTTGGAATATTTCCCTTTACATTTTTCTTTTTTTGTTTTTGTTTTTTTGAGACAGGGTTTCTCTGTGGCTTTGGAGGCTGTCCTGAAACTAGCTCTTGTAGACCAGGCTGGCCTCGAACTCAGAGATCCACCTGCCTCTGCCTCCCGAGTGCTGGGATTAAAGGCGTGCGCCACCAAAGCCCAGCTCCTTTACATGCTCTTGAATTAAAAGTTTATTTAGCACTGTATTGGTGATGATAGATTAGAGACACTTGTCTTGTGATTTCAAGGTTACTTAAGGCAAACTTACCTCTGAAAAGTGGCAGCCCACATTCCACTTGGCTTTATTTTATTTATTTACTGAGACAAGGTCTTTCCACATAGCTTTGGCTGTCCTGGAACTCACTTTGTAGATCAGGCTGGCCTCTGCCTTCTGAGTGCTGGAGTTAAGGTGTGCCCCACCACTCCTGACTTATTTATGTGTTTGGATGTTATGCTTGTATATATATATATATGTACGACGTGTGTGCCTAGTGCCCTACAAGGCCAGAAGAGAGAAGAGAGCATCAGATTCTTTGGGACTGGAATTATGGTTGTGAGCCATCATGTGGGTATTAGGAATCAAACCTGAGTGCTCTGGAAGAGCAGCCAGTAAATGTCCTTAACCTTAGAGCCATCATTCTAGCCCCTCTGCTTGGCTTTAAACTATGCATTTGTGTGTGTGTGTGTGTGTTTTTTTTTTTTTTTCAGGCAGGTGCTACTTCTATGTGGGCTTCATGCTGTGGGCTGCTGAATGAAGTCATGGGAACTGGAGCTGTCAGAGGTCAGCAGGCAGGGTTCCCAGGAAGCACGGGCCCATTCAGATTTACACCAAGCTCTGACTTTCCCACCTACCCACCAGCAGCTACTGAAGGGCCCAATATAGTTTGCAAAGCTTGTGGACTTTCATTTTCAGTCTTTAGAAAGAAGGTGAGTTGGATGGAATATTGCATACAAATAACACACGGGGAAAAAGATAGACATAGATCATAATTCATGGTTGTAGGTTATGTTGAATAGATAATCCATTTAATAAAAATATTAAAGTTAGTCCCGTTTGGAAACCTATGCAGTAAGACTCTAGTTCTGTCACATTTTCTGGGTCGACTTCACTGCTTTTCCTTTGGTATGTGGATCTTTACTTCTGACCCCTCATTCCTGATGATACTCATATTTGAAGCAACAGATGTAATTGCTGTGTGGTTTTTTTTTTTCAGCAATTATTTATTATAGCAAGGTACCATGCTTTAAAAAACTTGTTTCTAGTTCAGTTCCCAGCACCCACATGGTGGCTCACACGCTAGCAGGTGCCCTTTCTACCGCTCCCTAACCTCTCCACCTTTCCCTAGCCCATCCTTGACCGTGTTCTTCCATTAGTTGTTTTTGGTTTTAACAAGACAGTTTCTCTGTGTAGCTTTGTAGACCAGGCTGGCCTCAAACTCACAGAGATCCGCCTGCCTCTGCCTCCCGAGTGCTGGGATTAAAGGTGTGTGCCCCCAACGCCCGGCTTTCTTTTCTTTTTTTAAAAAGTTGTTTTAATTTTACGAGCATTGGTGTTTTGCCTGCAGGTATGGAGTCACAGACAGTTGTAAACTGCAATGTGGGTGCTAGAAATGGAACTCAGGTCCTCTGGAATAACAGATAGTGCTTTTAGCCACTGCACCATCTCTCCAGCCTGACCATATTCTTTAAAAAAAAGTGTGTATACATGCATGCCACTTGTGTGCATGCAGGTGAACTAAGAAGTCACAAGAGAATGCTGAATCCCTTGGACCTGGAGTTAGAGGTGGTTGTATGCTTCTTACCGTAGTGCTTTGGAAGAACAGGAAGGGTTTTTTTTGTTGTTGTTGTTTTTTGTTTTTTCGAGGCAGGGTTTCTCTGTATTGTTTTGGAGCCTGTTCTGGAACTCGTTGGGTAGACCAGGCTGGCCTCGAACTCACAGGGATTCACCTGTCTCTGCCTCCCGAGTGCAGGAAGGGTTCTTAACCTCTTGAGCCATGTCTCCAGTTCTCTGACCATTATCTGCCTGTCTGTCTGTCTATCTGCTTTTTGTGGTTACGTCTATGTGACTGAGTGGATACTGCATGTGTGCGGACACACGATTAGCCCAGAGAGCATATGAGATACCCAGAAACTGTAGCTATAGGTATTTGTAAGCTATCAGACATGGGTGCTGAGAACTACACTTGGATCTTCTAGAAGAGCAGCCAGTGCTTTCAACCACTGAGTCATCTCTGGCCCCAGTATTCTTTTAAATAGGGAGCTGGCTGTGATTTCTGCACTAGTGGGGTCTTCTGTGTCTTTGGGTTATGTTAGAGAGGTCAGTTTCCTTTCTGTTTGTATTAAGCTTTTTTCTTCCTCTTTGCTGAGAAAATTATCCACATAGGAAAAGACCAGAGAGTTTGTGACTGTGCTCAATTCAGCTCTATTCTGCTAATTACATGTTTGTACAAAGGGGTGGAAACGTTTTAATTCATTAACACAACAGTGTATATTTTTCTTAAAGTGATATATTTGAGTTTTGTGAATCTAAGCTGCCCTAGAGGTGATGGGACTGCACATGAACCAAGGTTTCAGTCCTAATACAAGTGGTTATGTGTTGTGTCATTGTCTGCTCTGTCTTCAGCACGTCTGCTGTGACTGCAAGAAGGACTTTTGCTCCTTTTGCTCAGTTTCACAAGAAAACCTCCGCAGATGTTCCACGTGTCACCTACTACAAGAGACAGCCTTCCAGCGCCCTCGGCTGATGCGACTGAGAGTGAAGGACCTACGGCAGTATCTCCTCCTCAGAAACATACCGACCGACACGTGTCGGGAGAAGGAAGACTTGGTAGATCTAGTACTGTGCCATCGTGGGCTAGCTTCAGGGGAGGACCTGGACTCAAGCAGCCTCAATTCCTCACGCTCCCAGACGTCTCGTTTTTTTACACAATCCTTTTTTTCGAATTATACAGCCCCCTCTGCTACTGTCTCCTCCTTCCAGGGAGAGCTCATGGACAGAGATGGGACCTTCAGATCTGAAGTTCTGGCACAGGTAGGATGATGTGATTGATGGCCCCGAGAGCCTGCTGTGTTCATCTTGCTCATATGTGGTAGGGATCGCCAGAGCTGGGTGACTGCAGATGACGGGCAGAGGCTCCACCTAGGTGCTGACATTATACACCTGCCTCACGTGTAGCCTGTGCTTAGGTGCTCAGTGCCTGGAATCCAATACGAAGCAGCTCATGAGTTTCCTGTCTTGTATAGTTATGTAACTTGTACAGTTAACTGTTATAGTAATAACCAAAAGTGTCAGTGACCATAGAAACAATAGTTAATAACCAATGACCTTGATGAAGGCTAATTGTTCTGACTTGCTTTTATTTATCTGAGACAAGGACTCTACCACAGGTAATCTCCAGCTCCCTTTGTGTCTGAGGGTAACCTTTTTTTTTTCTGGTTTTTCGAGACAGGGTTTCTCTGTGGCTTTGGAGGCTGTCCTGGAACTCGCTTGGTAGTCCAGACTGGTCTCGAACTCACAGAGATCCGCCTGCCTCTGCCTCCCGAGTGCTGGGATTAAAGGCGTGCGCCACCAACGCCTGGCTGTCTGAGGGTAACCTTAAACTGAGCATGTTCGTTCGTGTTCGTCTTTACTTGCTCAGTTCTCTATCCTGTATTTTGAGATTAGGTCCCTCACTGATCTGGAGATCACTGATTTGGCTAGGCTGACTGGCCAGGAAGCCTCAGGGATATTACTATCACTGCCTCTAGTGCTGGTGTTATAAACATGTACTCCTCACCTTGCTTTTTGTGTGAGTGCTGGAAATCAGGTCCTTGTACAGCAAGCATTTTAATCATCTAAGTTTTATCCCCAGCCCTGACTTTGAACTTCTGGTCTTCCCAGCTCCACTTGCTTGCTGGGGTCAAAAGTGTGCAGCATTATAGCCTGGGCTTAGGTGGTGCTGTGGATTGAACCCAAGAGTTTGTATACTAAGCAAGCACTCTTTTTAGTTTCCCCATACAGGATTTCTCTGTGTATCCTTGACTGTTCTGGAACTTGTCTGTTACCAGGCTATCTCCAAACGCACACAGATCCCACTGCCCCTGCCTCACAAGTGCTGGGATTAAAGGTGTGCACCACCACTGCCCGACTAAACAATCACTGAGTTACATCTGTACAAAGTTACCTAATTTATATAACAAAAATAAATGAACTTATTTAGTATAATTAGAATATTATCCCAGGGGCTAGAGTGATGGCTCAATGGTTAAGAGCACTGGCTTCTCTTCTAGAGGTCCTGAGTTCAATTCCCAGCAACCACATGGTTGGTGGCTTACAACCATCTATATTAGGATATGATGCCCCCTTCTGGCATGCATACATGCAGAGCATATAAAATATAAATAAATAAAATTAAAAAAATAAAAAATACTATACCGATAATATGCTTGAGCATTATAGTTGGATAATATGCAGGAATTACAACTCATAGTTTGTTGTGTATATGAATGACCCTGAAATGCTAAATTAAATGGGTGTAGTGGTGTAGTTCCAGTTACGGGGGAGGCAGGCACAGCAAGATCTCATGGACTCAGGAGTTTGAGGCCAGCCTGGGTAATTAGCAAAGCAACCACATTAAAAACAATACAAAACTCGCTGGGTAACCATGGCACACGCCTTTAATCCTAGCACTTGGAATACAGAAGCAGGCTGATGAGTTAGAGGCCCGCCTGGTCTACAGAATGAGACCTTGTTTCACAATAAACAAAACACACAGAGGTGTGGAAGCTGGAAAGATGGCTCAGTGATGAACAACCCTTACTGCTCTTGCAGAGGGCCCTGATTTGCTTATCTGTATCCACACTGCTACTCACAACTATCATGACTACAGTTTTTAGAGACTCTGATGTTCTCTTCTGTCCTCAGAAATTGTATACATGTAGACAACCACTCACGTAATATAAAAATACATATAGTATATACATGCAGACAACCATTCGTACACATAAATCTTAGCCTGGCAGTGGTGGCTCACGTGTTTAATCCCAGCACTCAGGAGGCAGAAGCAGGCAGATAATTCCGTGTTTGAGGCCAGCCTGGTCTTCAGAGCAAGTTCCAGTACAGGTTCCAAAGCTAGGCCTCAAAAAACTGAAATAAATAAATCTTAGAAGTACAGACATGACTGGGCACAGATATACTTATATCCCAGCACTTAAGGGATAGAAGCAGGAAGATTGATTTAGCTGCTATCCAAATATTCATAATTGGGATAACACTAAGACCAGAATTTTATGATTTTTCTCAAATGAGAACTTTCACTGTTATAAACACTTTGGGAATATGAGACACCATTTTGCGGGGATGTAGGTGGCACAGTGCTGCAGAGTGGTGCCTATAGGGTGAGATATTGGAACCAACTATGCAAAAGATGTCATCAAGACTGGTGGCATACACCGACACTTCCAGCATTTGGAATGTGGAAGCAGGGAGGAAATGAGTTAAAAGAAAATATCTGTTTATTTTTTAATGGTGCTTTGTTCGAATTCATATCTGTGTGAGGGTTTTGGATTCCCTGGAACTGTAGTTGTGAGGTGCCATGTGGGTGCTGGGAGTTGATTCTGGGACCTTTATAAGAGTAGCTAGTGTTCTTAACTGCTGAGCCATCTCTCCAGCCCCAAAAGAAAATATCTGAACTACGTGAAAGAAGGCATATAATCCAGAAAAGGAATTTTTTTTCCTAAAGAAAACTGTCAGCCAGGTGTTGGTGTACACCTTTAATCCCAGCACTTTCAAGACCAGCCTGGTCTACAAGAGTAATTTCCAGGATAGGCTCCAAAGCTAGAGAAACCCTGTCTCGAGAAAACAAACAAACAAACAAACAACCCCTGTTAATTATTAAGGATTTTTTTTTTGGTGTTTTTGTGGGGTATTTTGTTTGGTTTTTCTGAGACAAGGCTTCTCTGCATAGCCATGGCTATCCTGGCACTCACCTTAGAGATCCACCTGCCTGTTCCTTCCAAATGCTGGGATTACAGGTGTGTGTCACCACTGCCCCACGTACTGCTTTCCTAAACACTGATAACACTGATGTGTGTGTGCATGTTTGCATTTGCTCATGCCCATGGATGTCAGCACAACTTGTCAGTATTCTTTCCACAATGTGGGTTCAAGTCAGGTTGTCAAGCCCAATGGTAAGCTCGCCAGTCACTTTTCTTGTGGCTCCACTTAAACTGGCTGCTTTCAGTTCCTGAAGATGCAGTGCCACCCCACATTCTTAGGGGCTTTTAGGACCTTTGTCAGGCAGTTAATACTCAGATGTTAATCCCCAAATCACACGTACAGAAAAATTTACATTTTGAGGTAACTTTATGGAAGGTGAGTTCATGAAGAGCCCGACTTCTTGAGAGACCTAGCCAACCTTCAGGATCCAAAGAAAACATGTATGCCAAGCTTTGAGGGTTTTTATTATTATTATTACAATTAAAAAATATTTATTTATGTATATGAGTGCTCTGTCTGTATGTAATGCTAGAAGAGGGCATTAGATCACGATGTTGTGAGCCGCAATGTGGTTGCTGGGATTTGAACTCAGGACTTTTGGAAGAGCAGCCAGTGCTCTTAACCGCTGAGCCATCTCTCCAGCCCTATTATTACAATTTTATCATCTGTAGATAGGTGTTTTGCTTCCATGAATGTTTGTATACTACATGTGCTCTAATGCCTGTGGAGTACTTTTTTTTTTTTTTTGTTTTTCGAGACAGGGTTTCTCTGTGGCTTTGGAGGCTGTCCTGGAACTCACTTGGTAGTCCAGGCTGGTCTTGAACTCACAGAGATCCGCCTGCCTCTGCCTCCCGAGTGCTGGGATTAAAGGCGTGTGCCACCAACGCCCGGCGCCTGTGGAGTTCTTAAGAGGGTGTTGGAGCCCGCTTGGACTGCAGTTAAAGATGGCTATGAGCTGCCATGTAGGTGCTGGAAACTGAACCCAGGTTCTCTGCCAAAGCAGCAAGTGCTCTTAACTGCTGAACCACCCTCCAGTCCCACGTTTTTGTTTGTCTGTTTTGTCAGGGTCTCACCATGTAGCCTTGGCTGGCCTGGAAGTTCCTTGTAGACCAGGCTGACTTATTATTCACAGAGATCCCCTGCCTTTGTCTCCCTAAGTGCTAGGATTAAAGACATGCTCTGCTTACTCCACCAACCTGGCCCGAAGGTAATTTTGAGGATCAGCGGATAGTTTCTCTCTACAGGGAAGTAAAAGTTGGTTAGAAAAGCCTGATTAGTAATCAGTTGCATTTGTCATGTATATAGGTTCAAAGTGAAATAGCTTCAGCAAACACAGATGATGATGATGAAGATGATGATGAAGAAGAAAACTTGGAGGAACAGGTAAAACTCCTTTGAAATTGCTTTCCCTGATAAATGCATGTGGCAGAAAAGGGAAGATGCTGGATTTCCTCTTGGTCAGCCAGAATGCTGTCTCTAGCTCAGCTGTAGAACAGTGTATTAAAGCACCCGAGGGAACTGAGGAGTCTGGGGCAAGCATCCAGGGCCATGGGAACCAAAATCGGAGAGACATCTAGATTTGCGGGAACAAACGTAACAGATGTTCTGATTTCAGAACCCAGGGCTCTCCAAGAAGAAAGTGAGAGCCTCGCTGTCTGACCTGTCAAGCCTTGAAGAGGTAGAAGGGATGAGTGTGCGCCAGCTGAAGGAAATCCTGGCTCGGAATTTTGTCAACTATTCTGGTTGTTGTGAAAAATGGGAGCTGGTAGAGAAAGTTAACCGGTTGTACAAAGAGAATGAAGAAAACCAAAAATCATGTAGGTTTATCCCCCACTCCCAGTATCCTTTCTTGAGCTTTGAAAAATTGGGTTCAATGGGTGTTGGTGGCTCACATCTTTAATCCCAGCACTTGGGAGGCAGAGGCAGGCGGATCTCTGTGAGTTCGAGGCCAGCCTGGTTTACAGATCGAGTTCCAGGACAGCCTGGGGGTGGGGGGAGAGGGAGAGAGAAAAAGAGAAAAAGAAAAAACATGGGTTGTTTTTTGTCAGTTAAATCAGATTTAGCTAGCATGGTAATTAATGCCTGTGCTCCCAATACTCAGGAAGCTAAGGCAGAAGGGTAGCTAGCTGTCATGCTCTCAAAAATAGAAAATCATTGGGGCTGCAGAAATGACTCTGGTGGGGACCATTGGTTGCTTTATCTGAAGACCTGGGTTCAATTCCCAGCCCCCACATGGCAGCTCACCACTGTCTATAACTGAAACTGCAGGGGTTCTTACACCTTCACACAGACACACATGAAGACACCAATGCACATCAAATGCAAATTTGAGGTTTGGGGCTGGGGAGATGGCTCAGCCTTTAAAACCTGCTGGCTGTGTTCTTTTGAGTACCTAGGTCAATTCTCAGTGCCCACATGGAAGTTCCCAACTCTGTTATTCCAGTTTAGGGGACCCAGTTTCTCTTCTGAGAACCAGGCACACATACAAATGCAAGCAAAACACCCATAATACCAAAAATTAAATAAATGGATTAATGTTGTAGGAAAGCAATATACCTTTTTTAAGTCACTATGTCAGTTATGTAAACCTGTTTTTAGAGCTACTTGACATGGGCTTTGAGACAACTACTGCCAGATAAGCCAGACAATCATTTGTTGAATCTACTTATTATTATTATTAGTCATATAACAAATTCCTTCTTGCTAAAATGGAACTGTCCCATCTTCTTAGCCATGCTGGAACATTTTTAGTTAAACGTCTACTTGTGGTCCATGTGAGGAATATGGGTTGTTTTTTGTTTTTTCTCACTTGAGACAAGGTCTCCTGTAGCTCAGATTCACTCTGTAGTTGAAGATGACCTTTAACTTCTGATCCTCTTGCCTCTACCTTTCCAAAGTGCTAGGATTACAGGCATGTATTGTTACACCTGGTGTATACAGTGCTGGGAGTCAAACCCAAGACTTGACACAAGCTAGGTGGGTACTCTACCAGTTGAGCTATATCCCCAGCCTATTTCTTTTTCTTAAAGACAGAATGAACATATCCTTATCACAAACCCCTTCCATTATATCCTAACATAAAACAAGTAGCCAACATTTATGGTCCTCTGCCTCATATTTCTTCCACAACCCTGAGATACACATCATATCTAGTGTAAGAAGTGTAGAGAGGTTAAGGGACTACTTTCTGTATAGCACTGGGGTGGTAATGGGCCTGTGGTGGTTGCTTAGAACGTGGCTGCTTGGCCATAGGCAGGGGAGCAAGGTCAGTAGCCATGTCCAGAGCCCCAGCTCTCTGTTTCTTTCAGATGGTGAGCGGATGCAGCTTCAGGATGAGGAAGACGACAGTCTGTGCCGAATCTGCATGGATGCAGTCATTGACTGTGTCCTGCTGGAGTGTGGGCACATGGTCACCTGCACCAAGTGTGGCAAGCGCATGAGTGAGTGTCCCATCTGTCGGCAGTATGTGGTGCGAGCTGTGCATGTTTTCAAGTCATGAAATTGAGGCCCCCCTGAGTGGGACACTCCCGTGACTCTACCCCAAACCTGAGTGCATAAAAGGGACTGGAAACTTACTGTTCCAAGGCAGAAGCTATTTTTAAAAAGTATTTTCATTACTGACTGGGACAGGAAGTTCATCCTAAGTTGAAGAAACCTGGGCTGTGCCGTAGGCCTGACTGCCTGTGGACACGACTTTCCCAGCTTGTGCTGGGTTTTGTCACTGTCTCCCTGAGCACTAGTTGCTGAAGTCAGACTGTTCCATGTGGATATTTGCTCTTGCTCTATGGAGGTCACTTGCCCTGTCTCTTTATATTCCCCCTGTATCCTGTGTTGAAAACTTACTTTCTTTGACATGAACTCACAATTCACAAGTGGGCTAGTGTGGACTATACTGAGCAGTGGCCGCTCTGAATGTTCACTTTATTAGTCATATATTTTAAATGCTAATATTTAATGAATGTAAGTTTCCACATTGTTGCTATCTCTGCATTTAAGCACAATTGGGAGACGACTGACATTCTATAGTCAGCTGCCAGGGCCTCAGATAACTATGTCAGTTTTTGTTCAGTTACAGCTTTTAATAGCAAGGGCTGCATCTAGCTTTTATCTTAGAAGTGTGTGTGTGCGTGCTAAATTCTTAACATGTAATCAATTTACACTTTTGTATAGTGAAGGTGTATTTTTAGTGCTACCTGCTAGTAATTTCAACTTTAGGAATAAAATTAGATTAAAAGGCTGCCGTAGTTTATGCTGTCTCCTTAAGTTTTGAGCTTCTTTGCATTTAGCATGAATAGGCATCAACACCCTGGTTGTCTAGCACCTCTCTGCAGAAGAGAGATGAACGCCTTCAGAGACCATCTTTGCTGCTCACTTATGGTTGTGTTACTGTGACAAGGTACTGTTAGGTGCTTTATGGTTTTCTCAGTCCCTACCATCAGTGTGAAATAGACACTGTCATACTTGGCTGGAGAAGCTAGTCTCTGAGAAGTTAATAGCTTTGTCTAAAATCTCAGCTAAGCTGGACATTGGTGGCTCACACCTTTAATCCCAGCACTCGGAAAGTAGAGTTTGAGGCCAGCCTGGTCTACTGATCGAGTTCCAGGACAGCCTCCAAAACAATACAGAGATACCCTGTCTCAAAAACAAACAAACCAAAAACAACAACAAAAAAGCTCAGGCTAGAGATCATACTGTTAGTAGTAAGCCCCATGTTACATCACAACACTGGGATGGGGTAGGGGACAGACAACAGATTTCAACTCAAGAGTTTTCTAAGGTTTTCTTTGTCAGCCCTCTGAGTGCATATAGCAAATAAGAACGCGACATCAATAGTTCTTCTAGCCGGGCAGTGGTGGCGCACGCCTTTAATCCCAGCACTCGGGAGGCAGAGGCAGGCGGATCTCTGTGAGTTCGAGGCCGGGCTGGACCGATAGCCTCTGAAACAATACAGAGAAACCCTGTCTCGTAAAACCAAAAATAAATAAATAAATAAAAAATAAAAAAATCTACAGATATTGTAACCTTCCTTGGGGGATTATTGACTGTGACCTATGTACTAGGCTGTAGCTACATCGTGTCTTTGGCCTGCTGTGTGCATATGGTGGTGTGAAGCCAGATTCTTAGCAGGGACTGTTTGTGTGTGGGGGTGGGGATTACCTTGAGAGTAGTTCTCAGAGGGCAAGATGGCTCCTCTTTTTCTTTTTGGTTTGTTTCAAGATAAGGTTTCTCTGTGTTTCCCTGGCTGTCCCAAACTCACAGGACTCACACTCTTCCTCTGCCTCCTGAGTCCTGGGATTAAAGACATGTATTGACACCACCTGGCAAAGATGGACTTTCTAAACATCAGGGTGCAGCTATTTTATTTGGAGGCTCAGAACTAAAACTACCACAGAAATGTCAGTAAAGTCAAACTACTTTTTTACAAGTCTTAATTCTGTTGTGTTACTCCCCAGAGGTAAATATAGAAGCCATTTTTGCTGGAATTTGATTCAGAAATGGTTTTTGGATTTAAATAAGAGGCACGTGCTTTAGATGAGCTCTTACAAAATTCAAGTGTTAGCAGGAAGGGCTTGTCTTGCAAGGCTGATCTTTACTTTACTGATCTTTAGTTATTTTTATGTATGAACATCAAGTCAGAACTGTCTAAAAATATTCTCTGACCCCAAATTCTAATGTCTTCTAGCCCCCAGCCCAACTGAATTATCTTCTTCAGAAAGGCTGGGGAGGAAATGGCAGCTGTTTGCCCTCTATATCCTGGTCCCTAGTTGGTGGACCGGTTTGGGAAGGATTAGGAGGTGTGATCTTACTGGAGGAGGTGATTCACAGAGGGTGGGCAAAAGTCTCACCATTCCCAGTGTGCCTCTCTCTGCCTCCCATCTGTGGACTGATCAAGATGGGAGCTCTAATCTGCTGCTCTAGCCGTCTCTCTCTCTCTCCCCCTCTGCCCACACTCCATCATCAAAATTTTAACCCTTTGACTGTAAGCTCAATTAAACTTTCTCTCTCTCTCTCTCTCTTTTTTTTTTTTTTTTTTTGGTTTTTCAAGACAGGGTTTCTCTGTGGCTTTGGAGGCTGTCCTGGAACTCGCTTTGTAGTCCAGGCTGGTCTCGAACTCACAAAGATCCGCCTGCCTCTGCCTCCCGAGTGCTGGGATTAAAGGCATGCGCCACCAACGCCCGGCTTAAACTTTCTCTTATAAGTTGTCTTGGTTACTGTATTTTATCACAGCAGTAGAAGAGTAAGACAGCAGTGGCCATGCTTGGAAATTACTTTTACATAGTTATAGTAGGAGACTTTCAGACAGCTGAGTCACTACTCCTAATATCCACAAGTGGCCATCATTGTAGCAGAGTTTTTTCCCATTACCTTTATTGGTCAAAAACAAATCTCTTTCTGTAGGAGAAAAAAAAAAAATCACTGTGTCAAGGCTGCCTGCATAGTTTTGGGTCCTCAGTGTATACACTAGTGTGAAGAGTCCATTTACCCCTGGCCATCCTAATTAGATTTTTAGCCCTCTCATAAAACAGAAACCATCAAACACCAAGACTGATTTTTTTTTTTGTACAATTGTTTATACAAATCCAACAAAGGTAAAACTGCATCAGGGAAAGTCTAGGAAACATCACCATACAACAATGGCACTTATGGATGCGGAACATGACAACTAGAAAATAGCCTGGTTACCAACTGCAGTGAGAACTGAACACTTCAAAGGAAAGGAAGGCTATGGGCACATTTATTCTACTTGATTCATGGTATAAATTAGATCTATGTAAATAGAATTGTACAAGAGCTCATGCTTAGGGCAAAACCCTCCTGAGTGTAAAGGCTGAAATCTGAATTGTAAGATTTTGAGGAAAAGGTGAACTCTCTATTGAAACTTGGCAAAGTGTTTTACCTGGACTATACTTTACACTTAACCACAACATGCTTGTGTAACTTCTTGGCATACAAAGTAGACTCTCAACATCCAGTTAAACATGCTTTTTAAGTGGAAGGTCGCAGCCCCTGTCACACCTGGGCACATCTGTAGATGGGCTGTTTATGCTGATGAAGTACAGGTTAAGTTCTCCCTACCTGAAGGAAAGTTGGCAATCTAAATAATAAAAACACTGGTATGCATTCAAATCTTGCATAAATAATTTTTAAACAATTTATACAAAAATAGTTCTGCATAATGTAAGATGTAACAAAACCGACTAAACAAAGTGTGTCAAGACAGATGCAGATGGTGTGTGTGGTCCACTCTATGTTGACACCAGAAGCCTTGGCATTGCAAGGAACAGGGTGTCTCAAACAAAACTACCAACAAAAACACTAAGCTCAGGCTTCTAAGAGGATTTCTCCAAAGCTCATCATCCTTTCCAACTGGAATGTCTTCTAAAGGCCGCCTTAGAAATGGTCCATAAAGCAGTGCACTTATGATGCAGAAAGAGCAGAGGAAAACATCTGGCTCACTCATCCCCAAATGGGTAGTTGAACGGCTTGCTTCTCCCTTGGCAAGACTTGCGAATCAGAACTGTGTCCTGTGGTCTCTTGTTCCAAATTCCAAAGGAAATATAAGCCCACTTGTTTTTGCAGTCTTTTCCCATTCCCGGCTGTGTTCCCCCAACCCTCCATATTTACATGCTTGTCCTGGAACTAACTTAGTTTTTGCAGGAGTTTCTCTTCCACTTGCCCAAATTGAACACTCACAGACATTTCAGCTATGAACTGCTCACAACCTTCCTTGGTGACTTGCTTGCAGTACCTCAGGTCAATATGACAGATATTTCCACAGCGTTTGAAGAAGGACAGGCACTGGTCAGTGACCTTATTGCAGTCTGCAGGGAAGAAAAGACCATATGAAGGGACAGAAGACAGCCCAAGGCCCTATAAATTCAGGGATCCAGTAATAGAGATAGAACATACAGCTTGCCAGCATAGTCGAGTCTTTGATGTCCCCTAAATGGGGATGATTTCACCTACCAATTGCAAAGCTTAATCATGCATGAAAAGTGGAAATAGAGGCTGGAGAGATGGCTCAGTGATTAAGAGCACTGACTATTCTTCCAGAGGTCCTGAGTTCAATTCCCGGCAACCACATGGTGGCTCACAACCATCTACAATGAGATCTGGTGCCCTCTGCTAGCATGGAGGCAGAAGACTGTATACACAATAATAAAATCTTTTAAAAATAGAATTTTATGTCTGGCAAAACATTCCAATTACCAGTCCCCCAAAGTCAGACTATCAGGTAGAAACCACTTGTATCACAGGGCTGCCTCTTCCATTATATAGTTACATACAAAAATCAGTGTATCTTATTAAAAGGGTCACAATGTGTCAAGAGGCTTGACTGGTGAGAATATACTGTTAGGTTTGCCCGAGTGCTGTCCCCTTATCTGACTACAGTGTTCAGATAAATATCCTACTTAATATGGCCGGATCAGTGAAGTTCCTGAGGTCATTTTGGGAGCATTGTATGTCACACCCCATTAAATTGGTGACACACAGCCCACAGGTGGCTGCTTTTTTGCATTCCCTCCAATAAGGAATACCTATTTGAAGCCTGTGGCCCCCCCCAAAAAAAACCCACAATGTGCTAGAAGGAACCGAAGAAAGACAATTCACCATATCCTGTGAGCATCAATTGTGCATTTTAAAAAATTCTGTATTTTTCTTTAACCCTACTTCGTTTTAGAATTGAATTTATAATAGTCAACTGGCTTAAATGCTAATCAGTGTCCAAATGAGACCAAGCAAGATAAATGACTTCTAGGTGGATCAAATGGATGAGGAAATGATTACTATCTTCCTGTCAGGGTTATTAATTTTAAAACCTTTTCTTGGCCATTACTGTTACCACTGTTGAATAAAAATCAAGGTCACCTAATAATATACACTATCAAAGTTGACAGTGACCAGTGTAGGCACTAACCATCTATACATTGTCAGTCCAGCAAACAAGAGTCTCAGGCCAACACAAAGCTCTGAACATAGATGCTCACCAATTCTTGGATGCTTAATTCAAACTATGTGAGGACAACCCAATCTCACAAACGTAGCAGTAATAGAAATCCAAGTGAATAGGCAGTCATGTGCTGAGCAACATATGAGGATGGGATAGTTAGACTGAAGGCAACAAAAATATAAGGACCCTAATAAAAAAGATGCTTCCAAAACACCAAATCTCTCAAATATATTGCTGTAGCTGTTTTTGAGACATGGCCTCTCTATGTAGCCCTGGCTGGTCTG